CTGTGATGGAGCGTATCTGTTTATAGTGGATCCATGGAGATATCAGGAGTTTAGCTCTCTGTGTCTGTAATGGAGAGTTCTGTTTACAGTGGATCCATGGAGTTATCAGGAGGTGTAGCTCCCTGTGATGGAGAGTATCTGTTTACAGTGGATCCATGGAGATATCAGAGGGTGTAGGTTTATGTGTCTGATACAGAGTTTCCGTTTACAGTGGATCCATGGAGATATCAGAGGGTGTAGCTCTCTGTGATGGAGAGTATCTGTTTATAGTGGATCCATGGAGATATCGGGGTGTAGCTCTCTATGTCTATATCTGTTTACAGTGGATCCATGGAGATATCAGGTGGTGTAGCTCTCCGTGTCTGTGATAGAGAGTATCTGTTTACAGTCGGTCCGTGGAGAAATTAGAGCCATTTGAGTGAGATAGAATCTATTTGTGGTTTACCCATGGAGGTACCGGGGTGTCGCCTTCTGTGATAGGGAGATAGTGTATTTGTTTCAAGTGAATCTATGAGATCTGGAGATGTAAGTGTGTAATGGTGAAGACAGAGTGTTTGTTTATATTGAATCCATGTAGGTATTTGGGATGTAACTGTGTGAGAGAGAGAGACAGTATCTGTTTATTGTGAATCTATGGCAATATGAGAGGGTTCAGCTATGTGTCAGTGAGGGTACCTGTTTTGTCTTGAATCAGCGAGTATCTGCTGACCAGATATCCTAAATTAATCCAGTTTATTTGAATCCATTGAGTTCTCTTCGTGTAGCTGTGTCTGTGTGATAGAGAGCATCTGTTGACAGTGAATCCATGGAGACATGGGAGGGTGTAAGTGTGCTTGTGTGTATCAAATATATATATATGTATGTATGTATATATAACAGTGTGATGCCAACAGCATGGGTTCAGTCCCCACACTGGCTGAGGTTACCATGAAGGAACTCTTCTTTTCAACCTCTCTCCCCTAGCCTGGCCTGTGGTGGCCCTCAGGTTAAATCTCCACCAATCATCTCTCTCTGACGAGACAGCTGCCCTATGGTCTGGTAAGACTATGGCAACGTGATCTGGTTAAGGTAAATCCATGGAGATATCAGGGGGTGTAGCTCTGTGTCTGAGCGAGAGAGAATCCGTTGATAGTGAATCAATGGACAGCTCGCTCAACGTCTGTCTTACTTCTTTTATTATCTACCAATTTTGAATAATTTTAGCAAACTTTTAGTGACTGTCACCATTTTCACAGTGCACCCAACTAATCCAGTTGTCTTGCTACAATACAGTGTAAGGACAACTAGGGATAGAGTCATAGAGATATACAGCACAGGAGCAGACCCGTCAGTCCAACTCGTCCATACCAACCAGATATCCTAAATTATTTTAGTCCCATTTGCCAGCATTTCGCCCTATCCCTCGATGTTTCCTTTTCATGCACCCATGTTGTAATTGTACCAGCCTCCATCACTTCCTCTGGCAACTCATTCCATTCACATACCACCCTCTGCGTGAAAAAGACTGCCACTTAGGTCCCTTTTAAATCTTTTCCCTCCCACCTTAAACCTATGCTCTCTGGTTTTGGACTCTGCTGTCCTGGGGCAAGAGACCTTGGCCAGTCACCCTATCCATGCCCCTCATGAGTTTGTAAACTTCTATAAGGCCACCCCTCAGCCCCCAACACTCTAGGCACAACAGCCCCAGCCTATTCAGCCTCTCCCTCTAGCTCAAACTCTTCAACCCTGGCAACATCCTTGTAAATCTTTTATGAACCCTTTCATGTTTCACAATATCCTTCCTATAGCAGGGAGACCAGAACTGAATGCAATATTGGACAAGCATGATTAGGGTGAACAGCCAAAGTTTTTTCCTAGGGTGGGGGAGTCCAAAACTAAAGAACACAGGTTTAAGGTGGGAGAGGAAAGATTTAAAAAGGGCCTAAGGGGTAACTTTTTCACGTAGAGCGTGGTACATGCGTGGAATGAGGTGCCAGAGGAAGTGGTGAAGGCTGGTACAATTCCAACATTTAGAAGTCATCTGGATGGGTATATGAATTGAAGGATTTAATGGGATTTGAGTCAAATGCTGGCAAATTGGACTGGGTCAGATTGGGATGTCTGGTCGACATGGACAAGTTGGGCAGAAGGGTTTGACTCTACAACTATGACTCTATATCATGGAGTCTATCTGTGTGTGTATATGAGAGAGCGTATCTGTGGGTAGTGAAACCATGGATATATCAGCAGAGTGTCTGCGTGCATAAGGTAACAGTATCTTTTGATATTGAATCCATGGAGTTGTCAGGGTTTAGTCATGTGTCAGGGAGGCGGTGTATCTGTTTCTAGTGAATCCATGGAGATATCAGAAAGTGTAGTTGTGTGTGAGGCAGAGAGAGTATCTCCTTTTTTTTCCCCTTTATTCATTCACAGGATGAGGGTGTCGCTGGCTAGGCAGCATTTATTGCCTATCTGGGCAATTAGGAGTCAACCACATTGCTGTGGGCCTGGAGTCACATGTAGGCCAGACCAGGTAAGGATGGCAGTCTCCTTCCCTAAAGGTCATTAGTGAACCAGATGGGTTTTTTCCGACAATCGACAATGGATTCATGGTCATCATTAGATTGTTAATTCCAGATATTTATTGAATTCAATTTCTACCATCTGCCATGGCAGGATTCGAACCCAGGTACCCAGAACATTATCTGGGTCTCCAGATTAACAGTCCAGCGATAATACCAGTAGGCCATCGCCTCCCCTTAATGAATCCATGGAGATATCATGGATGTAGCTGTGTATCTCTGCGATAGAGTGTATGTATTGATGATGGGGTGGAGGGAGGGATAAGGGGTAAATGATAAGTGAAGATGGATCCCAGAGAGAGAGATAGAGAAAGACACAGTTGGGCAGACAAAGAAATGGGTAAAGGTCAGCCTGGGAGAATGAACAGCTGCTAATTGGGACTTTTAGTGGCTGCTAATGGGTTGTTGATGGTAACAACCCACATGATGATAAGGCCTGGTGTGTTGGGGTTGGGATAAGGACATGGGAGAAGGTGCTCAGGCCCTAAAATTGTTGAACTCAATTTTGAGTAATAGAGTCATTCAGCACGGAAACAGACCCTTCTGTCCAACCCATCCATGCTGACCAAGTTTCCCAAACTGACCTAGTCCTACTTGTCTGCATGTGGCCTATATCCCTCTTAAACCTTTTTTATTCATGTACCTATCCGAATGGCTTTTGAATGTTATAACTCTATCTGCATCTACCACTTCCTTTGGCAGTTCATCCACACACAAACCACCCTCTGAGTGAAAAATTGCCCTTCAGGGTCTCTTCTAAATCTTTCTCCTGTCACCTTAAAAATATGCCTCCTAGTTTGAACGCCCCTCCCCCCCGCCACCCTAGGCAAAAGACCTTTGCTATTTACCTTATCTATACTCCTCATGATTTTATAAACCTCTATAAGATCACCCTTCAAACTCCTCCACTCTAGCGAGAAAGGTCCCAGCCTAACCAGTCTCTCCTTATAACTCAAACCCTCCATAGCCGGAAGCATCTTGGTAAATCTTTTCTGAACCCACTCCAATTTAATAATATCCTTCCAACTAAACCTGTACAAGAGGCCTCACCAATGTCCTGTGCAACCTCAAGACGTCCTGAGGGGTTACCAGTTACCATAAACTGAATTGGGCTAGCCATACGAATGCTGTGGCTACAACAGCACTTCAGACACTAAGAATTTTGCAGTGAGTCACTCATCTCTTGTCTCCCTCAATGCCTGTTCACCATCTACAAGGCACATCACGAGTGCAATGGAATATTCTTCCTAGCCCTGGACTAGTGCAACTCACACAACATTCAAGAGGCTTGTTGCCATGCAGAACAAAGCAACCCTCTTCACTAGCATCTCATCCACCACATCTAGTGTTCACTTCGCTCGTCATTGACACACAGTGACAGTAGCCTGTACCATTGACAAGATGCAGTATAGTAAGGCTCCTCCAACAACATCTTCAAACATGTAACCTTTACCACCTTGAACAATAAGGGCTGCAGATGTATCAAAGCTACACACCATCCTTACTTGGAACTACTTGCCATCTCTACAGTGTCGCCAGGTCAAAATCCTGGAAGTGCCCGCCTTACAGCACTGTGGGTGCCCCTACACGCCAACAGCTGCAACGGTTCAAGAAAACAGCTCACCACTACCTTCTCCAGGGCAATTAGAGATGGGCAATAAATGCTGCCATTCCCGGAATGAATTTTTAAAAAATATACTGATCAGCCTTACATCTAGATCACATTAGATCTAGAAATAATATATCCCAACAAACCGAAAAAAGAAAAGAGCTACAACATTGGCATCTATCTGACAATTTGTTACCTGTAGCTGAAACTGTCTGTATGCTGAGATATTTTAAATCATATAATGATTTATATGACTTTGAATTTATAACTATCTCTGCACTACCTCTGATCAATAAAGTGCATGGCAACTTAATCCATGTGTAACACAGATCTCTGCCATACTCAACAGATGTACCAGGGCTGATGCTGAGAAAAGTTGTTCAGGTATAGTGGAGGCCCAAAGAGAGAGAGAGAAATGGTGAGGGCAAGGGGGGAAAGGAAGATTGAAGAGACGAATTAGGATCTGAAGTAAGGCTCGACCTCTAAGATCATGACTAGTCTGAATTCTCCATGTTCTGGCATACTCCCCCACCCAATAACCTTTTACCCCCTTGCTGATCGACATACCATCTATCTTTGGTCTGAAAAGATTCCAAGTCTCTGTTTCTACCACCTTTTGAGGAAGAGAAGTCCAAAGACTCATGACCATCTCTGAGAAGTTTCTGCTAATGTCTGTCTTAGATGGACATTAGATGCTTTGGAAAGAGAAGGGTGGGGTACGGTGATTGAGCTACACCAAGCTTCAGCAGAAAAGTCTGACCAAACGCAACAACGAGATCAGTGTCAAAGGGTTTCAGCCCAAAACGTTGACTTACCTGCCCCTCGGAAGCTGACTGACCTGTTGTGGTTTTCCAGCCTCTCACCTGTAGAGACTGAGATCAGGAGTTCCTCAGGTTAGTGTCCTAGGTCCAACCACCTTCAGCTGCTTCATCCCTCCATCATAAGGTCAGAAGTGGGGATGTTCGCCGATGATTGCACAATGTTCAGCACCATTTGTGACTCCTCAGATACTGAAGCAGTTCATGTTCAAATGCAGCAAGACCTGGACAACATCCAGGCTTGGGCTGACATATGGCAAGTAACTTTCACACAATGCAAATGTCAGGCAATGGCCATCTCCAACAACAGAGAATCTACTATTGTCCCTTGAAATCTAATTGCATTACCATCACTGAATCCCCCACTATCAACATCCTGAGGGTCACCATTGACCAGAAACTGTACTGGACTCGCCGTATAAATAGTGGCTACAAGAGTAGGTCAGAGGCTAAGAATACTTCAGCGAATAACTCACCTCCTGACTCAATAAAGCCTATCTATATTTGACAAGGCGTACGTCAGGAGTGTGATGGAATACTCCCCACTTGTCCAGATGGGTGCAGCTCCAACAACACTCAAGAAGCTCAACATCATCCAGGACAAACCAGCCCACTTAATTCACGGCATATTCACTCCCTCCACCACTGATGCACAGTAGCAGCAGTGTGTACTATCTACAAGGTGCACTGCAGAAATTCACCAAAGATCCTTAGACAGCACCTTCCAAACCCACAACCACTTCCATCTAGAAGGACAAGGGAATCAGATACGTGGAAATGCCTCCGCCTGCAAGCTCCAAATCATCTAGATTTGGAATTAGATCAAAAAACCGAAAGACCTGCAGACGCTGGAAATCAGAAACAAAAATAAGAATTGTTGGAAAACCTCAGCAGGTCTGAAGGGTCACTGGATCCAAAATGTTAATTCTGATTTCTCTCCACAGATGCTGCCAGACCTGCTAAGCTTTTCCAGCAATTCCTGGTTCCGTTGGAAATAGATCGCTGTTCCTTCAGTATCACGGGGTCAAAATTCCTGGAATTCACTTCCCAAGGGTATTTGTGGGTCAACCGACAGCACATGGGCTGCAATGGTTCAAGAAAGTGGCTCACCATCCCCACCTTGAGGGACAACTAGGAATGGGCAGTAAATGCTGCACTCAGCCAGCAACATCCCATATCCCACAAATGAATAAAAGAAATGGGGACTTGTCTTGTTCATTGATGTGTCCTGTGTATTCCAGGTCAGGGGATACGGAGTTCCAACACCTTGGGGGGAAACAATGGAAATGGGAAAAGAGACGGAAGCGCTGCTGAGCGATCAGCCGGGATCCTCGGAAGGCCACGGGACGGGCCAGCAGGCTCCCAGTGTCCAGGAAGATGACTGCTTTCAGTGCTTTGTCTGCGGCAAGGGCTTCCGCTGGGCTTGCCTGCTGAAGAGACACCTGCGGGTTCACACTGGCGAGAAGCCCTTTGAGTGCGCTGTGTGCAAGAAGTGCTTCAGTAAGTCCAGCAACCTGACCCGGCATCGGAGGTTCCACACTGGCGAGAAACCCTTCGAGTGCACCGTGTGCCAGAAACGCTTCTCCACCTGCAACGACCTGCGAGTGCACCAGCGAATCCACACAGGGGAGAAACCCTTCGAGTGTGCCGTGTGCAAGAAACGGTTTTACACATCTGGCCACTTGATACGGCACCAGCGGACTCACAGCGGGTAGGGGCCTGTTTGGACCACCGCTCATTAACTCAAGACTTCCCGTAATGCTGAATCTCCGGGATGTCTAAATTTCTGCGTCCGGGTGACGGACGGCGAACCCCACCCTGTCACAAGATTAAACTTTGTCCATTTTGGACGGAGTACTGAAACAACCACGTGGTTATTGTCCGTCGGTCAAACTCCAGCCCCTAAAATGGAACTGTTGTGAACCTGAAATCTCATTCACTGAACTATTGTTGGAGTTTTTTTTAAAAGATCATGTCACCTTTTCAGATTGCCTCCCTCCCCTTTTCTGATTCTCAGTTGCCCGTGGGGATCGGAACAGTAGTTAGGGACCAAGTCGACTGATGTCCTACGTGGACATCTCCCAAGATGCTCTTTGTCCCGTAATTTTAGCCTTGCATGTTTGGCCAGGACATCTCTTTACATTTCTGCAACTCCCTTCCCCTCCGAATGCAGGATCATCGATGTTTTGCCATACTGAGACTCCATGCAAAGTGAGAAGGATTGTACTGTATACTGTGAGCCTGCGATGTTACTCACAGTGAATCCAGTCAGAAACCTGCGTCCTGCTGTAAAGTTATGCAGTGCGAAATGGCCACCTCCACTGGTTATTTTCATGAGACTGCCACAGATTGATGCAGGATGGATTGCCACCTTGTCGTCACATAGAATCCCTACAGTGTGGAAACAGGCCATTCGGCCCATTGGGTCGACACAGACCCTCTGAAGAGCATCCCACACAGACATGCCCCCCTACCCTATCTCTGTAACCCTGCATTTCCCATGGCTAACTCGCCTATCCTGCACATCCCTGAACACTATGGGCAATTTAGCATGGCCAATCCAACTAAACCTGCACATCTTTGGACTGTGGGAGGAAACTGGAGCACCTGGAAGAAACCCACGCAGAGATGGGGGAGAATGTGCAAACTCCACACAGTCGCCCCAGGGTGCAATCGAATCCAGGTCCCTGGCGCTGTGAGGAAGCTGTACTAACCACTGAGCCACCGTGGCTCACCCTGGTGCTTTTTATCTCTAACACTTGGCACATGCCAATTAATAGACCCAATCTGAATTCCTCATCCCACTGAACACTTCTCTGCATGGTCACCCAAACCTGGCCTTAACCCACAGGGGCATCATCTGCTCATGTGGTACCATCTTCGTTTCTGCTCCCTTGCGGTGGGACAGTCCCAGCCCCTTGCCTCCTCATGGTGGTACAATCCCAATTCCTTGACCCCTCACAGTGGTACAGTGTCAGCCCTTTTGCTGTGGTATAGTCCTAGCTGTTTGCCCCTTCATGGCAGTTCAGGCCCAGCCCCTTGCCTCCTCGCGGTGGTACGGTCCCAGCCCCTTGCCTCCTCGCGGTGGTACGGTCCCAGCCCCTTGCCTCCTCGCGGTGGTACCTGCCCAGCCTCTTGTCTGCTCATAGCCTGTCCGTCCTCGCCCACTTGCATGATGTGGAATGTAGATGTCTTGTCTCAAGCTCAGAAGAATGAGGGTCTCTGATTGATTTCTTGACACTCTTCTGCCTATTGTTAGAGAATATACCAGATTCTAAAAGATTTTCAGCACAGAAGGAATCCACTGAACCCAAGTAATCAGTGCTGGTGCCTCACCCCACCAATCTGTCCTCTCTCCCTTGTTTTTCTAAGGTTCCCTTACAGTCATCTGTAATAGTTGTTTCAACTATAACGTGTGGTTGTGAGTCCCACATTCTCACTCTGTCTGGGTGCAGTCACTTCTGATTTTTTTCCTCTTGCATTTACCTTATCTGTCTTAGTTTTATGGTCTGACCGTCCTGTCAGGCTGTCCTTCAAACCTACCTCTTTGACCGAAGCTTTTGGCTGCCCGGCCTAATGTCTCCTTACGCATCTCGCATGTCAGAGTTTGTCTCATGCAGTGCGCCTTGGAATGTTGCACAATTGAAGGTGCTATTTCTATAAATGCATAACAGTACGAGAGGTTTTGCAAACTCTTGCTTCTGTTTGTTTGATTATGGTACATGGCTGGTAAAACCCGATCAACTTTGGACTCTAATTAACATCTGCAGGATGGTGGCAATAGAAGCTGAATTTCCCAACCCTCACCAAGGGTTGAACAATAGTTCAAGTCTGATTGGAGATAATGTGATGAAGATAAAGGGCAGCTTTCACACTGTGGCTGATCAGAAATCCTCTATCAAACTACCAAACAAAACAACTAGGAAGGCAAGGCAGGGGTTCTGAAAGGTATTAATTTTGTTGTTATGATGTGGTTGATGTGTATCCAAAGATAACACTTGTGAGTGGTGTTTGTGGACCTGGCTATACCCCTGAGAATGCAAGGCTTGTTTATAATATGTGGTGGCACAGCGGCTCAGTGGTTAGCACTGCTGCCTCACAGCGCCAAGGATCAGGGTTTGATTAGAGCCTCTGGCTGTGTGGAGTTTGCACATTCTCCCCGTGTCTGCGTGGGTTTCCTCCCACAGTCCAAAGATGTGCAGGTTAGAGTGGATTAGCCATGCTGAATTGCCTATTGTGTCCAGGGACGTGTAGGCTAGGTGGGTTAGCCATGGTAAATGCTGGGTTACATGGATACGGTAGGTGAGTGGGCTGCACTTTGCAAGGTCGGTGTGGACTAGATGCGCTGAATGACTTGCTTCCACACCATAGGGATTCTGTGATTCTGTCTGTTTAGGAGTTTGGAAGGAATCATTGGCATTGATAGCGAGAGAGAGAGAGGTTTTCTGCTGGTGGCTGTACCTCGAGATGGGTCAGAAGAGCCCTTTCTTCATTTAGAGTGGCGCAGGTGGCCCCCTAACTGCCTTAGAAGGTTTGATTTAATCAGTTTAAATTTAAGGTTGAGTTTTTTTTTTATTCTGTCAGACAAGGGCATTTGGAGTCAGGATAAGACCAGACACAATCTCATCAATAAACGGTAGGAGCTGAATGCCTTTCTCCTGTCCTGAGGACAATGTCGTTGGGATCTTGTTTTCACCCTCGCTGTGTTTGGATTCGGGGTTTGGTTCCACAGGGCCCCTCTATTTGAAAGCTTCTCTCCACTCAATCTTCTTCTGGCCACTAGTCCTGACAAAGTAAGAAGTGTGCACAAGGGGGACTAGTTTAGTTTGGGAAACTTTGGCCAGCATGGACAAATTGGACCGAAGGGTCTGTTTCCCTGCTGTATGACTCTAAGTAACGTGCTGTACTCACCTAGCTCTTCATAGAGTCAGTTTAGTGCACAACTGAGCAAAAGAGGTAGTCAGACTGCAGCTAGAATATCTCTGAATGGTATAGCTGAAATACTGTGAAGTTTCCGAAAACTATCATTGGGGACAATGGAGCTGAATAAATTGTCTAGTGTGTTTGTATTTGAATTGAGTAGCCTGGTTTATTAGCACCTAGTCATGTTCCAGCATTGTCTCTCCACATTTCTTCAAAGGGGCAATACTACTGAAGGGGAGCAAAGAAGTGGGCACCAGGAAGGATGAGCAAGAGGTAAGAAAAAAATTGAGGTAGAGTTAATCAGCAACAGAAGTAACTTGTGGTCCGCAGACCATCAGACACTGCTTTTGCAAGAAGTCTGTCTCTCCTGGTGCTATTGTCAGTGTCTATTTGTAGTGGGAAGCTCCAGTTTTCTTACAGGCACTCATAACAGCTCAAGTCCCAAAAATGGCTGATGTCTGGTGCAGGTTTTCTGAAGCAAGCTATTCTTGAATGGCACAGAGTCTTAATTGTCATAGCGCAGAGGGAAACTGACTCTCTGATCAAGCAGCTCATCATGTGCCATTCTCCCTGTAATCCTGCACATTGATCCTTCTCAGATGAGAGATTCCCTCTCTGATACCATCTCAGGCAGCGCCTTCCAAAGTCTAACTGCTGGCTGCCTGAGATAGCTTTATCTTGTATCGTTTTCTCTTTTGTCAGTCTCTTTTAAATCTGTGCCCTCAAGTTTTTTTTTGATCCTGTCATAAAATGAGAACGGATTCTCCCAATCTGGTCTGTCGAACCTCTCGTGATTTTGCATGCCAAGATCTCCTCCTGGCCTTCTGTTCTACAATGAAACTGGTCCCAACTTCTCCTATATCTTTGTGACTGAAGTTCCTCAACCTTTCAAACATTTTCATCAATCTCTTCTGGACCCTGTTCCATACCTTCACTTCCTTCCTGAAGTGCAGTGCCACCAACTCCCTTTGATTTGGTGATGGCAAACAAGGCAGAATACGGGAGTTGTCATTCTGTAAAGAAATATTGTATGATGATCGCAATTTTAAAATTTTGTTCATTCATGGGGCCTGGGCGTCATGGGTTAGGCCAGCATTTACTGCCCATCCCTAATTGTCAAGAGGGCAGTTAAGAGTCAACTGCATTGCTGTGGCTGGAGACACGTGTAGGCCAGACAAGGTTAAGACAATGGGTTTCCTTTCTTAAAGAAACTATATACTACAATCAACAGTAGTTTTTTGTTTTATTCCAAATTTTTCCTGATTGAATTCAATTTTCGCCTTCTGCCAGGATGGGATTCGAACCCACGGTCCCAGAACATTAATCTGGGACCTGGATTACTTGTCCAGTGGCATTGCCACTATGCCACAGCCTCCCATGTTTGATAATGCCTGAGAGAATGAGGTCTCTAAACTTGGGTAAGGTTGACTTTAAAAGAATGCAGCACAAGCTGATGCACATAAAAAGAATTGTCAGTGGAGACGTCTGTGGAGAGGGTAGGGTTTGAAATTTGTTTACTAGGTTTCCCTTGTGGAGTTGAACAACCATGGTCTGCCAACAAGGTAGCATTTGGACAGTGAGCTAAACCAGGTCACTATAGGCTAGTTAGCTTATGTCATTTGGTAAATGGGAGTCTATTGTAAAGGATGTAACAACAGATCATTTACAAATACATAATATGATCACACAGATTCAGCATGACTTCGTGAAGGGGAGATCATGCCTGAAAAATTTATTACACTTCCTTGAAGAGGTAACAAGTAGGATAGATAAAGGGAAACCAGTAGATGTA